AGACAAACTTAATTTTGTAGAATCACTTTAGATAACTTCCTTCTTAATTTTCAGCAAATAATAAGCATAGAAGTATTATTCTGTTCTTTAAAAAAAATTCATTTTTCCTTCTCCATTTTAAGTGTGTAAACGAATAGAAAAGTTGTAAGTACTTAATTAAGATACGTTGAGAAGTCGAGCAAGATTACAAGCATCAGCAATACTTTAGAGCTTGTTTGGGAAATTATTTTTGAAAATCATTATTTTCAAAAGCGTTTACAATCACATATTTTACGGGACATATAAGTTGAATTTCCTTATAAAAATTATTTTTACTTGAAAAAAATATCTCCCAAACTAGTTCTTAATTTGACCCCAAGCAAACAAAACATAAACTACAAATGGTATGATAGTTATGAGCTTAAGATATATTAATTTGATAACTTTCTAAATAGATTTCATGAAGAAAAAAATTACAACATATGGAAAATCATCAAACAAGGGTTAGCACTTTGAGTTTGAATGAGCAAAATAGTTCCGTTATATATATTAACAAAAAGAATTATAGAGTTGATGTCAAGACGAGCTTCGAACAATATTAAAGTTCGACTTGAACAAGTAAAAATATTAAGGTGTTTGTCACAAGTATGTTCTTGTTCCGAGTTGGAACAGACGTACAAATTCTTTGATTCCAGTTAGTAAGAGGGATCTTGAACTAAAAAATAGACCCTATAAGCCAAAAGATATCTCCTTAAATTCATTTTAATTTCACTATTTAACAATTTGATTGCAAATCTTGTGTTCATTATAATTGACAATATAATATTAAACAAAATTAAAGGAAAAAAAAAAGTTGAAATCTTGATTATAATCATATGCAGTTGAGTCTAAAGTGCATAATACATATTATTTATATAAAAAAAAATTATGGTCTCCTTTGTTAATCTCTTTCGGTCTCTAATGAGTAAAAAATGAATAGATCGTGCAAATACAATTAATGTTCCTGTATGCCATTCCTAGTGTTGTATATAACACAAAAGGAACTATTTTAAACAACTTTAAAAAAGCTTAGAATTGTTCTAAGAACTATCTTTTCACTATCACAAGTTTAGGATATTGACAAGCTAATCACGAGGAATTATTAAATATAATAGACACACTATGCAAATCTTAAACAATAATTTATTTATTTATTTAGTTCTTGTTTTGTTTAGATAAAAATTATTTTTTTTAGTAGATTTGGATAAAAGTTGGTGGAGTCTGGTTGAAAAGTTTTGAGTCCCCTGAAACATAAGATTAAATAAATTCTTGACTTAGATATTAATGAACTTTTTCACATGAACCAAACAAGAGCTTCTTATTTTTTACGCTATGATTTCTCCTTTGTATTTTGTCAAAATTTTAAAATCCGAAGTAAAAATAGAAATATTTCCCTATATTATAGGAGGATTAAAGAAAATTTGATATCTATAAGAATGAAATTTTCATTTATTGACTGCATGGAGGTTAATATCAACTATATTATACCTTAATAACATATTTAGTAAGGTGGATTTAATAATATTATATATTATTAAAAAGGAAAAAATATAATATTATGTATTGTATAATTTTATTCAATATTGTATACCAAACACATCATTAGTGATGGAATTCAACAAAATGGCGAATAAAATGGTTGAATCTTCCTTCAACTTGTCAAAAAAGGTTAGATAACATAATAATATATTGAACTTGAAAAATAATGTGTAACAAATTAAATTGAGGTGCGGTTATCTCTCTTTCCTTAGGGAGATTTGGGAATAAGTTGACTCGACTTATACAAGTGCATATAATAATGCCTTTCCATATATAAGTGTAGTTTTTTTCACCAATCATCACTACAACAAAAACAGTTTACGGCAACGTTCGAAAAACGTTGCCGTA